TCTCTCTCTTTCTCTCTTTTGGCGGAACCGGGGATTGAACTCAGGCCCTTGCGCTTGCCAGGGAAGCACTTATTCCACTGAGCCATCTCCCCAGCCCCACCATGCCCAGCCTCAATTGCTGTCTCAGCGTGCCCCTTGGCAGGGCTAGTGCGGCGGGCCTGGGGATTGAACCCCCAGCCCTTGTGCCTGCTTGCAGTCAGGCCATCTTTTTATTCCACATTTGATACAAAACATGGGGTATTGGCTTCTGTGTCTGACTTATTTGCTTAACATAATGACTTCCAGTGCCATCAATTTTTCTATATGTGACAGGACTTCATGCCTCTTTGTGGCTCAATAACACTCCCCTCTGCATACACACCGTGCTTCACTTGTCCGTTCATTTGTTCACGGGCACCTGGGCTCGTTCCGCGTCTTCTCCGTGGTGATGTGCGCTGCAGCGAATGCAGTACACACAAGCTCTTCTGTGCTGCAACTTCATTTCCTTCAGATACATTTTCAGAAACAGGACAGGGAGATCACATGGGAATTCTGTTCGGAGTTTTTTGAGGGACCTGCATACTATTTTTCTTTTTCTTTTCTTTTTCGGTTCCAGGGATTGAACTCAGGACTCTGCACTTGCCAGGCAAGTGCTTATTCTACTGAGCTATCTCCCCAGCCCCTATTTTTCTTAATGACTATGATAATTTGCAGTTCCCCCAGCAGTGCACAGAGTCCTTAGCAGCATTTGTCACCTTTTATTTTATTGACAATTGCTGTTTGAACTGGCGTGGGATAGGAGCCGAGTGTAGTTCTGATTGCACCATCTCCCTGATGCCTAAAGATGTGGAGAACTTTTTCATGGGTTTATTGGCTGTTTCAAACACTTTCACATACTTGAGTGTCAATACAAACACAACTTGCACTAGCCAAAAAGTGGAAACAACTCAAGGCCTCAGCTGGTCAGTGAATAAGTACAATGTAGTATATTCAGGTGGTGGAATATTAGCGATAAAAAGGCACGAGGTGCTGACACTTGTAATGTGGATGAACCTTGGAAGTATTATGTTAAATGAATGCGGTCAGCCACAAAATACTGCCAGTTTGTGGGAGTTCACTTATAAAACGTCCACGAGAGGCCAATCCACACAGACAGAGAGTAGATTAGCAGCTGCCAGGAGTGGAAGCACTGGAAGTACTGGCTTGAGCAGTGACTATCACGAGTGTTTTTATTTTATTTTTATTTTTATTTTTGGCGGAACCAGGGTTTGAACGCAGGCCCTTGCGCTTGCCAGGGAAGCGCTTATTCTACTGAGCCATCTTCCTGGCCCTTTTTTTTTCTTTTAATATCAAACACTGAGGAATTAGTGACCATGGTTTCACAAAGTTGTGAATATGCTAAGTGTTGGATTACATATTTTATTTTAATTTTCAATTTAATTTGATTCTTTTGGTAGCAGGGATTGAACTCAGGACCTTGTGCCTGCTAGGCAGGGGTTTATGCCTCTGAGCTATAATTCTCAGTCCTGAATTATATATTTTAAATGGGTGAATTATATAGGATGTGAATTATAGCTTGAAAAAGTTATTTAAAAAGGAGCATACATCTCACTAACCCTTGTTGTACAGACAGGAATCATTAGATATTTTGGAGGGGATGAATCTTTAGCCTCCACTGGTCGCTCTTAAGCCTTGCTTTCCTTTTTGTCAAGGCAAAGAATCCAAGTGTAAGTATATTAGGAAAGATGGTAAATGTATCACCGAAGACTGTGTCTAAAAACACAGGGGTAATTGGAAAATCACACCACAGCTTATTACTAGGTGCCTTTGTTCACAGAATGAACTAGTCATTTGCGCTTTGGATGTGAGTCACATTTTCAGAATTCAATTGTAGATGCAGGTAGCGATGGTGTGCTCTGGCATGAGGCGGCTGCACCATCTCTTAGTCCTCTTGACTTCTCATTTCTTTCTCTATTAATGTTGTTGGTTAACACGCATTAACTGTACGCACTGGCGGAATCTCAGCGCATGCATACAGGGTGCGCTGGACGAGGCCAGCTCCCTTTGTCCACCTGCTCGCGGCTTTGCTGCCAGATCACCCAGCAAACTTGTCCTAGGGAACAAATCAATGGGTTCAGGGGGACCAGACACAATTACTCGGGGCCCCAGAAAATTCTAACACCCACGAAAAAGTTTTCTATTTATGTATCAGTCTTTTGTGAGTGAGATCAGGAGAAACAAGCTTTATTTATTTATTGGCAGAACCAGGGATTGAACTCAGGCCCTTGCACTTGCCAGGCAAGTGCTTATTCTACTGAGCCATCTCCCGGCCCAAAAGCAAGCTTTAGAAAACTGTTTTATTTTGGGTGCAAGTAGGTGACCAATAGGGACATAAATAATTGGGTTGTTAATTTCTCAAAATCAGAGTTCTAGGATTTAGTGTTAGTTAGGCTTGCTCAGCAGCAGCTCAGTGATTTTGGGGACCCACTGCTGAGGTTGGGAATGGCATGGTGGATGCTACAGACGACCCTATTCTCCTGAAGTCTCAGGCAGGAGAGAGATGTTTAACGGGCTCTGGGTTTGAATCCACATACCTGTAACTTCAGACCCAGTGCTCATAGCATCCTTGAGCTCAGTTAAGGAAGTGCTGTGCAGAATTGGTGAGATTTTGTGTGTACGTGAGCGCACCTGCACACATACACCTGTGTGTTGTTGAGGACAGAGACTAGGGTCTTTTGCATGTGTGAGAAAAGACCTGAGGAGTCCAGTTAGTGCTCTTATTTTAGCCAGGCACAGTGGTTTCTGCCTGTAATCTCAGCTCTTGGGGCTGAGGCAGGAGGATTGCTGCACTTTCAAGGCCAGCCTGAACTGCGCAGTGAGACCATCTGAAAAAAAAAAAAAAAAGGCACTCCCGGAGAATGAATTTAGATAAAAAGGCCTCTTGAGGGGTGAGTAGTTTGTGAGGGTGGAACACTTGTGAATGGGATTAGTGACCTTGAAAGAGTCTGCAGAGTCTTCCTCCCCCTGCAGCCCCAGGACACAGAGTCGCCCATGACCCTGAATCTGCTGGCAACGTGGTCTTGGCCTTCCCACTCCGCGTGAACTGAATTCCATTGTTCCTAACACAGCTCCCTTATAGACTTTGCTACATCAGCCTATCCTAAAAGACGTACATTCTCTGCTGAGGGGGAGCCAGGGGCCATCTGCTTTCTTGGTTTAGCTCTCATCTGACAGTCCAGTGGATGGGCCATGTAGGGTCACAGTTTTAAAATTGTGGTTGAGCAGTCTCCAAGCACAGTGCAAAATGGTCCTGGGATTCCTAAGCCTGAGAAGGCCGAGGCACGAGTTCTGGTGTTGGCGATGAGCTCAATGTTAGGGACTAAGTGACGCATATTGTGTGTCATATTTTAGAGGGTACCAGGAATTGGGTTTGGGACTGCGCTTGCCAGGCAGGTGTTTATGCCACTGAACTATCTCCCCAGTTCATCAATGACTAATATTAAGGTATTTCTAAACAGAAAGTGTGGTGCTGTGCTGCCTGCTTGCTGAGAAGGCTGCGACTGGAGCCCAGCAGGAGTAGCGCCCTGCTCTTAGCCTGGGAGCAGTGCTTCGGCATTCCGCACCTCAGTGTTGACAGAGGCAGGGCACAACCAGTACAGTGAAAAGCACCGACCGCCTCTCAGGTTAAGAACCGTACAGCATGGAGAAGGAAAGAGGCGAGGAAGGACGCGTGCACCACCTGGTCTTCATGAGTGGCCAAAGAGGTCTCTTGACAAGGGGGTGACAGTGGAACTAAGACCTAAAGGGTAGCAAAATTCAGATTCAGGGAAGTGTGTCCCCTGTGGAGGAACAGCAGGCTAGGGGTGTAAGCTTGGACTTCAGGGGCAGTGGAGCTCTGCTGGGAGGCGACAGGGAGCAAGGAGCTGGGCCCCTAAGAGCTTTTGACCGCTTGGAGTTGTGCAGTGCTGGGACCCTGTGTGTGAGGGGACAGAGCTGGTGGGAGATCAGTCACTGCTTCAAGTGGGGTAGCTCAGGAACAAAGGCTACAAAGTTGCCAAGAGACCTGCTTCTCTGAGGTTTCACCTTGGGTTTTTTTTTTTTTTTTTTTTGTTTCTGTGGTGTTGTGTGAGCTCAAGCGTTGGGGTGAGCATGCCAAGGGCTGTCACCTGCTAGCCCTGAGTGCAGCCATACTTGAAGGGAACAACTGCGCATCGTCCTGGTGTACTACTATGATCCTGGAGAGCCCCAGGCTGAGCTGTCCAGCATGCAGGGTGAACAGAGAGGAGCCAGCTGCCATGGCCCTCTACAGGTGGGCCACAGAGCACAGCTGCAGGGAGGACGTCTTGGGTGCAGCGAGGGCCTCAGAGCACTGGGCGCACAGCACCAGCCCGGGCCCTGGGAGTGGACCCGCCCCTCAGAGCTGCAAGAAGAAAGCCTCCCCAAGGCCGAGGCCAGAGCAAACTCCTGGATGCGAGATTTGTGGAACAGAGCCTGTCTGTGCTGCCAGGGTTCAGTTCACCTCCCTGCTCTCTGGGAATCCGTGGCGTGGGGAGTGGAGCTTTTTCAAGGGCATCTGGCTACAGATGGAGGGGACCTGTCTCTGTGAAGGTCCTTGGATGAGAGGAGAAAGAAAGGCCTAAAGCAGATTAGAAACTGTTACTCCCCCGCTTTGCAGCTCATCCAGTACTTCCCCAGCCCTGCCAACTTCCAGCCCTGATCCCAACCAAGTGCAGAGTAAAGAATCAAAACTCTGAGCAAAGGGTCAGCTTTTCTGAGACTGTGCTTAATGAGCATGCCGCCCACAGCCACAACCAGGCAACCACAGGGCCTTTCTCATACCTGGGTTCTCCTCGCCTGCAGGCCTGGGAGCAGGAGGAGCCCACAGGAACAAGGAGTAGCATCCCCCCGGCCCACTCAAGAGAGGAAAGGCCTTGCTGCCCCGGACCACAGAGGCCTGGCAGCCTGGGCATCTTGGATAATGTGGCTCCCCACTGCCTGCTGTGTGTCCATGGCCAGGGGCGGGATTTCCCAGCTTTCCATGACAATTGGGCCACGTCTGGGGCTCCTGTTGCTCTAAAAATAAAGAGCAGTAGAGCCGCCAGGCCCAATGGACTTCTCCCCTCCCGCCTTCTGTTTCTCCCCTTTCCGACCACTGTTCCGGCTGCTCAGGCCCTTAGCACAGTCACCCCTCACTCCAGGTGCTTGGCACATTCTGTCCCTACCCCTCGTATAGCCTTCCTTGGTTAGGACAGTGAGATAGCTCAGCGGATTAAGCGCCTGCTTAGGCAATGCAGGGACCGGGATTTGATCCCTAGCACCACAGGTTATGCTGACCACTGAGTCCAGCTGTGGTGTTGCATCCTTGTAATCACAGTGCTGAGAAGGTTAAAAATAGGATTACTAGTCCAGGCTGTGTAGTGAGACACTACTAAATACATTAAAAAAAAATTTTTTTTTTTGTCTTCTTGGGTGCTAAAAACTTTTTTTCAAACGAGAAAACCTGGCTTCATTTAGCTAGCCTGATGTTTTCAAGGTTCATCTCTGGAGTAGCCTGCATTAGTTTTTTTGTGCCTTTTAATGGCTAAATAGTATTCCTCGGTGTGGGTGTATGCAGACAGATGTCCAACAGTATATCCAGTGTGCATTTCCCTAGTGACTAGTGTTGAAAGCTTCTCATACTGTTTGTGTATAGTTGATGGCTATTTGTGCCCTTCCTTTGAAGAAATGTTAAATTTTTATTCCTATTTTAATTAGGCTATTTGTCTTTTCCTGTTGTGTTAGAGTTCTTTATGTACTGTGGATGCCAGGGCTTTGACATGTATATGAACTGAGAATATTTTCTCCCTCTATTGGTTTCTCTCTCTCTCTCTT